AGTTGCTAAAAAATCGCATAGATTTTTGAGAATTTTTTTTTCTGACGGTATTATGCACTCTTTTCTATATAAAAAATTACTTTGTCTTGAAGAAAATACGTGATACCGTCAGCAAAAAAATTATCAAAAATCAACACAATCTTTTAGCAACTTCAAACTTGTGAATCACTACTATATTTTAATAAGCTATAAAACTGTATATTAAAAATTATTCTAAAACATAAAGTGCTTGGAATTGGGAGGAAAATTTTGTGGAATTTTTATAATTTTTGTGCAAAGTCTGAAATTTGGATTTATATGGCATTTGCTATACTTAAAAAAAAAAATAATAATCAAGATTAAACAAACAAAAGATAAATAGTCAAAACTGTTTAAAATTTTGAGGTGCTATCGTTTTGTCGCATGCTGTACATAGGCATATAGATATCCTCCGGGAATACCCTTTAAGCTTTTATACAGATTTTGTGTGGACTGAATGGAGTAAAATAGCCCAAAAAAGATTAACATACGTGCTTATAAAGCAGTGAGGATCAAAGTGAGCTTTTACTTTCTGCGCGTACTTTTAAAACGTGTGCGGGCACCACCGACCTGCCCGCGGGCAAAGCTCTTTCAAGCTTTGTATAAATTTAATACAAAAAGATTGCGGGAGCTTTGCCCGCGGGCAAGCTGATGCCCACCACCGATATAAAGCGATGCGGCCTGCTTTCACTGCCTCCCCGACCTTTTAAAATGTAGAAAGCATAAAAGTCTTAGCACGCGTGCCTAAGAAGTCGTCGAGCACGTCTATAAAAAATCAACTTATAACAGTGCTTTACAGTTAAATTCATTATTGGGTACTCACACGTGGGCACGATTATAGGTATGTAGGCATTACCCCCGCATACCTACATACAAATGCATACATACAAACGACTACATATTCCAGTAGCGGGTGAATTAAGATACTCTGCATATTGCCCATTAAAACGCCCATATAAAATTTCTCTCTGTGTGTAGCTTTGTGTGCATTTCAAGTGGATTTAGAAACAATTTTCACCAACAATAAAAATCAATAAACCCAAGAAAATCAAACAGCACAAAGAGCAAAGAAAAAAATTAAGCTTGCTTACAAGAAATCTAATGAACAAATTTCGTATGTAAATATCGATGGTCCTCTGCAATAACGGCACAACTCAAAACTAAAAAAAAAAAACAACAAACCCTTACTACTGAAACAGGCACTTGTCCCTAAGCCTCGTCTAATGGTTGTTACTAATACCAGAAACCAGCATCGAAACATCCACAAAGCCCCTAATTAAAGAACGAAGAACCAAATTGATCATATTGTGATAGACGGAAGATGGGCGTCAAGCGTTCTTCACGTGCGCTCTATCCGAGCAGCCAGCATCAACTCGGATCCATATATTGTAAGAGCTAAGGTATGCATGCGCCTCTATGAAATGAAGTACGTGCGTCAGGCAACACGGCGAAAGTTCGACGTCGAGAAGCTGCAGTCACAGACACAAACGGTCGAGAAATTTCGCAATCGACTCTGGACAAGAAACTTTTCATTCGACGAGATATAAGCAATCAGTGGGGATCCATATGCCAACATCTTCTTGCCGCTGCGGAGGAAGTGGTTTGAGAAATTCGAAGCATACGAAGCGACCGACAGTTGAGCGATACCAGAAGAAGAAGAGGGCGAAGACACGTCGTGACGTGATTGGAAGAGCCTAAGATGGTGGCAGACAGGAATTCGGCTCCAAAAGTCTATAAATGAGGCAGAAATCAATTGGTTTCAAGGCCAGAGCTGGTTCCAATAAAGATGAAGATGGAAATCTCAACGCGTTTAAATGGCGACACAGGTGTCGCATTTGATGAACAACAATCCGAAACAATGTACGAAGCTTATAGGGGGTGAGAGCATTAAAATTCCGACTTTCTTTTTCCCGGACCGCCATAATATAAAAGCGGTTAAGCAGAATTTGGTCTGATGAATATAAGCCCGAAGACTGGAATCTCAGTGTATTTTGTCCAATCCACAAAAAAGGAATTACCGCCCTTTGAGCTACTTATCGCGGAATAATACTGTCTGTAAGACTGAAGCCCTTAACGAACCAACTATTTGGAGCGTCAAACCTGGTAAGTCCACCATTGCCAGATTTTCACAGCCTTTGCCGATTTTAAAGTCGCTTTTTAGAGCACGAAGCGAAGCTGCATGTACGACGTTATCTATTAATTTGGGATCCCCGAAAAACTAATACGGGACGTTGACCACAACCTTCAGCTTCGTTCAAATTGGGAAGGATCTCTGTGCGCCGTTTGAGACCAAATGAGATTTTAGATAAGACGATTCACTTTCGCGCGACTTTCCCAATCTGATGCTGGAAAGCGTAATTAGAATTGCCAATTGGAATCTCAGCGGCACCATGTACAGAAAAAGAACGATGCTGCAGGCACCTAGGCGCATCATTTTCCAGTTTATAGAAAAAAGGTCAAAAAGGTTGATGTAACGGTGAAAGAGGACAGGACAAAGTAACTTCTGGCAACATAAAAGAGCCCACGCATTTCGGGACACACGTCACTGTTAGCACTTAAAACTTTGAAGTAGTGAAGGATTTTGTCTACCTATCATCCAGGATAAACACCACCAAAAATGTCAGCCTGGAAATCAAGCGAAATCTTGTCAACAGGTGCTACTTTGGACTCGGTAGGCAATCGAAAAGCAAATCCCCTCTCCCGTCTCATCATGCTCGCTCTGTTGTATGGCGCAGAAATGTGGCCGATGTCGAAATAAGATGAGAAGGCCTTGGGTGCTTTTGAGAGAACTATTCTACGCAAGATCCATGGTCCATTCCGCGTGGGCGACGGGTACCGAAGAAGATGGAATGACGAACTGTATGAGCTTTTTAACGGCATGGACGTTGTTAAGCGCATAAAAATAAGCGATTACGCAGTCTGAGATATGTTGTATGCATGGATGACTGAAAAGTTCCTTCGGCTCGGCATCGCCCATGGATGGACAACGAAAGCAAAGGCACCCACGAAGAAAATGGAAACACCTTGGTATGAACAACTGGCGCCATTTCGCCCAGGAGAGAGACAAGAGGTGCAGATTTTTGGTCTCAGCGCAAACCAGAAAACGGTTGTAGTGCCAAATAAGAAGAAGAATATGTTGTTGTCTTTCTTACTATGAATAACGGGCTCTTACTTATAAGCAATGTTTTGTTTACTTTTTCTGAAAAATGTAAACTTTTGAGTTAATATACTTTTAAATAACTAGATAGGTATACACATTCCTGATATCGGGTAAACTCTAAATAGATACACTTTAACTGGCCTTTGCATACAGCGTAGTACTGATAAAACAAACATGCACATAAGTAAGCATCTACAATGCATATGTATGCTAAAGTCCTTTATAAACACAAAGCATAGGCTTAAGTGCTCAATGGCCCGCTACCTTTGGGGTTGTAAAAGAACACAAAAGGCACTTAATGTTACAGTCGTGCAGTGCTTAACTGCCAAATCAATTATGTATACGATCAATTTGTATTATTTTGCCACCTTCCATTCTACGCCGCACCTTGTATTGACCCACTGTATTCCTTCGTTTCGTTTCAGGTTTTCATATGACACCAAAATTACATCTCATTTTCCCGGAATCCTGTTTGCTGATAGTTGTTGGTGTTATTATTGGTTTTGTTCTCTACTTCTGCACTGATGTCGCCGTCTCGCCACTCACACCAAACACATTCTTCTTCTACATGCTACCACCGATTATTCTGGATGCTGGCTACTTCATGCCAAATCGTTTATTCTTCGACAATTTGGGCACAATTCTGTTAATGGCTGTGGTCGGCACTGTATTCAATACGGCAACAATAGGTAAGTGGTATATAAAATATGTATGCGTTGTGTATACATAATTATACAATTTCATATATGTACGTAAATACTACATACTTATGTTCTATGCATATGTAAAAAGGTAGATTATTACATATGTCCGCATACCGTGATATGTGTGAACACCGCTCGTTTCAATAAGGCTTCATAAATTCAAGCATTGATATTGGCACAGTGATATTTTTTATCATTTGGCATCGAACCCAACCCCCGCCTTGGAAGGCTACGTCTACCAAACTAGAGCGCCCATTGAATTCTACTTCGAAAAGGTGCAAGTTCGTAATACACACAGTCCACACACTTCGCCGGTACTTCAAATACCCGTCCGACCTCCACGACTAGGGGCTCCACTGAACAACAAGGCCACTCCCGCTCTCTGCATTGCAGGCGAATTGGGAAGACCCAAAGGCCTGCAAATTCAATGGTACTGTAACCAATCTTTGGTCTACCGCCAGGTATCGTATCCAATCCGAAAAAGTACAATGTGCGGTCGTCCACCGTATTCCAATACTGCGTCAGATCCAAAAAAAGTGTGACAGCTTTTTTTTAGCCGCAATTCACCAAACGAAGCACATGTCATCAGACGGCTACGAAAACTGACGAACATCAGTGAGCCTCTTGCTTTTATCATAGTCGAAATTTGGGTGGCTATCAATAAGAAGCCTCCCAAGCGGAGTAGACATGCTGATGTTAAAATACCTGCGTACGACGGGAGTAAAAGGCCCGAATTGTAGAAAATAGGTAGAATGATACCACTACTGTGATTTTGAAAATCGGTCAACCTTTTTTACACAGCCTGGCCAAAGAAGGTCAAACAACAATACCGACCATAATAACACAAAAAGTTACCTTTGAAAGCTTGTTGACTTTCTCCGCGCCCACAACCGCAAAATCGCAATCACCAAAGACAGAGAAACGGCGAAATTGCGCATTCGGTTATAAATTATGTTGCACTTGTGTGGATGCTGGGAACGAAACTTCAGATTAGTTATAAAGTCTCATTAAGACAACCACGGGCAAAATATGTGCGCCCAGCAATGCAAGGAAAGCTCACCGTCGAAAAGCTGTATTCACAACAGACGGCCAACTTATTCACCACTCGACTCTCATACCTTCTCTCAGAGAGCTCTTTCAACAAACCGACATATGCGAGCAGTTGAACCACAATTCCCTTTAATTACGTACCGCCGCCGAAGAAGTAGTCGGATTTCAGCAAGCCAGAAAGAACAACTGGTACGATGAGGAGTGTCAAGAAGCTCTAGAGAAAAAAGATTCCGCCTACAGGACCACGCTGCGATCGGGCTCAACACGAGAGTTGTGGGATCGTTATAGGGAGCTGAAGAGGAAAGCAAGACGTATTTGCCGCAATAAGAAGAGAGATGCCGAAATACGTGAGTGCTAAGAGCTTGAAATGCTGGCCGACAGGAAAAATGCCCAAAAATTTTACCAGAAAGCTGCTGGAACTGACAGCCTTCCAGCTGAGCTATTTAAGTACGGCGACGAGAAGCTTATAAGGTGCATACATCAGCTCTTATGCAGAATATGGTCAGATGAACGCATCTATAAGAAAGGCGACCCCGCCATACGCGCCAACTACCGCGGGATCAGCCTTCTGAGCGTACATAGGTTACAAGGTCTTAACGGGTGTATTGTGTGAAAGACTGAAGCCCACCGTCAACGAACTCATTGGGCTTCATCAGTGTGGCTTTAGACCTGGCAAATCCACAATAGACCAGGTATTCACAATGCGCCAAAGTTTGCAAAATCGAATCGAATCGACACTCAAAGCCGACAGCACTAAAAAGAGTTGTGTATACGCCGCGATGTCTGAATTTCGCATCCTCGCGAAATTGATATGACTGTGTAAATTGACGTTCAGCAATACTACCAGCTCCGTTAGAATTGTGAAAGATCTCTCCAAGCCGTTTGCTATCAAACGGGATTTCAAACATGTGATTCCTCTAATCCGATGTTGAAGAAGATAATAGAGCTGCAGAACTGAACCGCTCAGGAACAATTTACTACAAGAGCGTGCAATTGCTGGCGTACGCCAGTAACATCGACATCATCGGTAACAAAAATCGCGAAGTCTGTTCTGCCTTTTCCAAGTTGGACAAAGAATCAAAGCGAATAGGTTTGGTGGGAAACGAAGACAAGACATAGTATCTTCTGTCATCAAACAAATAGTCAACGCATTCGTGCCTTGTCACCCACCACACTGTTGACAGTTATAATTTCGAGAAAGTCGAGAATTTCATTTACTTGGGAAATTCAGCGCATTCAGCGAATTTCTCAGATTGAATTTCTGCTTGAGAAATTCAACTATGTCATTAATATTTAAATTAATTGTTGTTAAGACAGAAGCTATAGTGGCGTATTTCGCTAGTTGGTAACCTTTTATAAAGCCAAGGCCCGGGGGCCATATCAGTAAAATATTTGGGTATTTTTTTGTGTAAATTACTACTAATCAAACTCGGATTGCAATCATTACTTTCCAAAAGGTCACTTAACTTAATCAGCTGATCACAAGGGTATGTACTAGGGTGGTCCAAAAATGCATGTGAAAAAGTAAAGTCGGAATTTTTATGCTCTCACTCCCTAGGCTTGTTCTATACCGAAAAAATATACCCTTATTTTTTTATTTTGAAACCAAAAAATATATAGAGGTCGCCCAAAGCGCCCAAAGTTTTCCATGTATTTTATATGGGAAAAAACAACTTTTCGTAGAAATGGTATAGAGTAGTTAAAAATCAATATTTTTCCACCAGAAAACTCTGTTTATCTGCAGGAGATTCCCAATAATAATACCCAATTGGTTATTTAAAAATTTTTTCATTGCAACTATAACGAATAGCTCCGCCAAAAACCCACAAAAACCCTGAAAAATGCAATGGGGTGACCAATCAAAAAATCGTTAGTATTAAAAAATGGTTAACTAAACTATTGGGTATTATTATTGAAAGTGTCCTGAAGAGAACCAGAGTTTTCCGATCGAAAAATATTGACTTCCAAGAATTCTATACCATTTAAAAATACATGGAAAACTTTGAGCGCTTTGAGCGACCACTAAATATTTTTTGATTTCAAAATAAAAAATAGGCGTATACTTTTTTCGATATAGAACAATCCTAGGGGGTGAGAGCATTACAATTCCGACTTTACTGTTTTTGGACCACCCTAGTATGTACATAACATTCTCCTTTAAATTCGATCACTGTCCCTCTGAGCTTAATGCTTTACTCCATTTCATTGCGTTTCTGTATCAATTCACTTCAATTCAATTAATTGCGGTGTATGCCAACAAATTGCTTAATGTGATTGTGAAACATGAAGCGCTCAGCACTACTGAGGTGCAGGCGCCGTGAAAGTGCCAGTGCGTCGTCGGTCAACAATATATGTACATATATTTATTTATTTGTTTACATGCTATTTTTTGTTATGTCAGCATATGTACATATGTATGTACAAACATACATTTGTACATATAAGCAAACATTTGCACATTGTGGATCCACATTGTCATTGAATTGGTAGTTTTATTTGCTTTTAATAGACAACTATAATAAAAGTTTACATTTTCACAGCTGCTTAAAGATGAAAAAACAACGCTTAGTTGTTGTGACAGGTTGAGGAATTTAAAGTGAGGGACTTAATGTCTGATGACGTTTGCGTGTACTGCAGCTTACAAGAACCTTCTGCATGTATGTATGTATAACTTTGAGAAGTTCGTAAAAGCTAAGTTGATATTCCTAAACTTAAGGCCTGGTTGCCGATTGTCTTCTTTTTTTTGAAAAAAATAGGGGATGTGGAGGGGTCTTATATCTAAATAAGTGCTCCTCAAACTTCGCATTAATTCTGAGTAACATACGCAATACTGCTGATAAAAAACGCAGAACCTTTCCTTTGTTAAAATAAAAAAAAATATCGGTGTATTTTTTTAAGAAAAAGAAAACCGTGGCTCACTTGATTTCGGCTCAGCATAGTGTCTCGCGCTAGTCTTTTATCTTTCGCGCCGCAACGCTCTCATAAATACTAATTGAAGTCAAATCACTCTCCACCTGGTCTTTCCACTGCGGAAGAGCCCTTTGTCCTGCAACCATCAGCGGGGATCGCAAAGAAAAATATTCCTTTGAAATGTGAAGATGTCGTACGATAGATTTTTGCCACTTCTGAAACATCATTCGTCAACGGATTGCTCGAAGAAGCCCTTTCTCATTCTGATGGAGCTGGTGGTGTCACTCAACAACATCAAAATCCTATCGAAGGCGGCCTTAAAGTCGACAAAGCGATGGTAAGGGTCGATCATCGCCTCAGGAACATCTGTCTTATGGATTGTCAGCACCGAGAAATAGCGCTTGGTCAGCTTAAGATGATTCTTTCAGCATCTACGGTCCACCACTAACCCAAAGGTGCTTTCGACTTTGCACCTCGAGATGTTCGTCCAGAGCTCGCTGGGCCGACTAGTATCTAATATATAGGGTGCAGGTTTTCAAAGAAACTTCTATACCCTCTCTGTTGGAGGAAATTATTAGTTACCTGCAATTTCGCTATGCTTTGGCACTCAGATCAGTCTAATTAGGACGTATTTCACTGTGACCAAGAGAGACCTTAGGCGTGGCCTGAATAGTTTTGATTGCACCATTAGCGATACTAAGGCCCTGACTGCCGCTTGGATATTAGGATAGATAACGTACATTAATTGAATTCAGTATGGTTCCTTACAGCCAGTGGATTAGAGATTGGAGAGGTCCCATCTCTGTCCAATGTGAAATTATGTTGAGCTAATTCTGCTGATTAGCGGTGTTTATATTTAATTGACTTAAAATTCAGGGTTTTCAAACAATCCCTAAAGTACCCGCACTACTTCGTTTGTAAAAATCCAGATTATACAACATCAAAACTATCGCAAGCGCCATTTTACCTTTAGACAGTAAGGTATGCAAAAAATAAATAATCCTATTAGAAAGCTTGCATTCAAT